AGAATTGAGTGTTCGTTGAAAAGAGAGAGAACTGAGTGTTCGTTGTATCCGGAGAACTGAGTGTTCGTTGAACAGATAGATCTAAATGTTCGTTATACAGAGAGAACTGAGTGTTCGTTGAGCAGAAAGAACTGTGCATTCGTTAATGAACAGAGAGACCTGAGGGTTCGTCGATTAGAGAGATCTGTGTTCATTCTATTTTTACTTCTTTGAACACAAGTATTTTGGGCAGCGTTAATTATCCTGTCATTGAACACTGATGCGTTTGTGTACTAAAACGTTCAGGAAAATGATGGTAGTGATGTTTTGACCATGGTGGTGGTGACTGTGGGGTTGGTGACCGCTGTGGTGGTATTATTGACAACAGTGATGTCCACGACGGTGGTAGTGGTGATGATTGTGGTGGACTAACAGAGATGGTGGTTTTAGTGATGAAGGTAGTGGTGACTACTATAGTAGTGATGGTGACTGAGGTGGTGGTAGCTACCATGGTAGTAGTGGTGATGAGGTTGGTAGCGGTAGTGATAAGTACGTTTTTAACCATCTAAAAAAATTCCAATTGCACTGAAAGCATTATAAACAATTTAAATAAATTTCTGTTCTTCATATGCAGACGTCTCAGATAAATTATGATTGGAAAAAAATCGAAAACACTGACACAAAAATTATATCCTTTCCAAATATCTTTATTGTCGAATTTTTTGACCTAACATACACTCGTGGCTCTTGGATGATGTGAAAGCCAGCTGAGTATCGACAGGCTCAGCGTGCCAAGTTTGGAGTTTGATGAATGAGTTCTATGGTGAATATATTGCAAAGTTGCGGGAATAGATTGCTTCCATAAAATCATCTCACTGGCCACAGACGCGTGTATATGTCTCGAAGTCTTCCTCGATCTTTCCTGCTTCGTAGACTATAGCTTAAGGGACAGTTGAAAGAAAGTCTTTTATTCAGAAGCTTACGACACTCACCACTAGCTATGCTTCTTAAATCCTAAATACATTCCACCTATACTTTTTGTTTAGCAGAAATTCTAATTTGAACATGAGAGAGAGAGAGAGAGAGAGAGAGAGAGAGAGAGAGAGAGAGAGAGAGAGAGAGAGAGAGAGAGAGAGAGAGAGAGAGAGAGAGAGAGAGAGAGAGAGAGAGACAGACAGACAGACCCAGGCAATGCCGACCTCCCCCCTCCTATATAGTATAAGAGAGTCAGTCGAGCTGTCTATCGTTCTGTTTGAGTGTTTGTCTGTCTAAAGTTAGAGTTCAGAGGGGTTGGACTAACTAACCCCAAATTTGAAGGTGGAATGGTTTGGAAATACGCGACGGACATAGGCTGGTCGAAATAGGCCTAAGTTAAATGTTTTAAGAATTATATAATTTAACTCCACAACCCTATGGTCCCGGGTTCGATCTCGGGCGCTGACGAGAAATAATGGGCAGAGTTTCTTTCACCCTGATTCCCTTATTACCTAGCAGTAAAATAGGTACCTGGGAGTTAGTCAGCTGTCACGGGCTGCTTCCTGGGGGTGGAGGCCTGGTCGAGGACCGGGCCGCGGGGACACTAAGCCCCGAAATCATCTCAAGATAACACCCCCTTTGCGATTTTCATGAAATCAGGATGTGATCTCCGAAGATTTATTAAATAATTTCTGACGTTTAACCGCGCATTTTGATGATTTATTTGAAAATGATTGATAGATAGTTGGATGTATAGACAGATAGATAGATAGATAGATAACCCCGAGTACTAAATACTAAATATTTACATAGACTAGCACTTATATACCTGACAGTGTATCTGAGGGGTGGCGGGGCCCGGTTCAGTTATACGTGGTTTCGTTAGATCATATATAATGTCTCAGGTACTTTATTCGTCCTGCTGTTCGTGTTCTCCATTGGTTCTTTGTTACTTCTTTCATCGCAATTTGTTTGTGTGCAGTCATTACACGTCACAGAATTTTAAAGAATTTGTTTTTGAAGTTTTCAGAATTAATAAGTTAAATTATACAATTTGTTAGGTGGGAGTCTATATATATCTTTTTGATTGTTTCTTTCTCGATTTGCAAAAGAGAGTATGTAATAAAGACGATCAGGGTGTTCCTAATTAAGATGTTCCAGTATCGATGGTGACATGTCAAGTAGTCAATATTCCCAGATTAAGCCATGGAGTTCCTCAATTATATTTTTTTAAGGGCTCGAGACATTGTGTTGTCTGGAGTCTAATTACTTGGTTTCTACCTGCGTTTTAATTATGTTTGAAATTAGAATTTTAGTGAAACCTTCAGTTTTCCCCATTAATTATGTCTGGCAGAAGTGCAGCTGTGATATTAGTCCATGTCTGGTTTATGGCGGAGGCGGACGTCTTGGTGGGTGTAGAGGGCTTGAGGAGGCCGACGTCTTGGTGGGTGTGGAGGGCTTGAGGAGGAGGACGTCTTGGTGGGTGTAGAGGGCTTGAGGAGGAGGACGTCTTGGTGGGTGTGGAGGGCTTGAGGAGGCAGACGTCTTAGTGGGTGTGGAGGGCTTGAGGAGGAGGACGTCTTGGTGGGCTTGTGGAGGGCTTGAGGAGGAGGACGTCTTGGTGGGTGTGGAGGGCTTGAGGAGGAGGACGTCTTAGAGGGCTTGAGGAAGCAGACGTCTTAGTGGGTGTAGAGGGCTTGAGGAGGCAGACGTGGTGTAGAGGGCTTGAGGAGGCGGACGTCTTAGTGGGTGTGGAGGGCTTGAGGAGGGCGGACGTCTTAGTGGGTGTAGAGGGCTTGAGGAGGAGGACGTCTTGGTGGGTGTGGAGGGCTTGAGGAGGAGGACGTCTGTAGAGGGCTTGAGGAGGCAGACGTCTTGGTGGTGGGTGTGGAGGGCTTGAGGAGGAGGACGTCTTGGTGGGTGTGGAGGGCTTGAGGAGGCGGACGTCTTGGTGGGTGTGGAGGGCTTGAGGAGGAGGACGTCTTGGTGGGTGTGGAGGGCTTGAGGAGGCGGACGTCTTGGTGGGTGTGGAGGGCTTGAGGAGGAGGACGTCTTGGTGGGTGTAGAGGGCTTGAGGAGGCGGACGTCTTGGTGGGTGTAGAGGGCTTGAGGAGGCAGACGTCTTGGTGGGTGTGGAGGGCTTGAGGAGGCGGACGTCTTGGTGGGTGTAGAGGGCTTGAGGAGGCGGACGTCTTGGTGGGTGTAGAGGGCTTGAGGAGGCAGACGTCTTGGTGGGTGTAGAGGGCTTGAGGCGGCGGACGTCTCGATGCTTATAGATCTTAAGCAAGGTCTCACACGACCCAGGTATACTGTATAGTACTCGTCAGCCAGGTATACTGCAGTACTCTTAGACCTTCCATCAGGTCACATGGTGACCTTCCTCCAAGATTAAGTTGATGATAACGGGTCCAATGAATGATAGTTGTCGCAATAAGTTACATTAATTTTAGCCGGATGGTGTATTCCGTGCAAGTTAACGCGTCAAGTTGCAGTGCAGGCGGTGCAACTTGCTTAATTGGTCTTGACATAATGCCAGGAAGTCTTCATCTGCCTTAGTTCGTCCCGACTGTGACTTATTATGCTGGGTCCTCGGGCTGGAGATGTGATCATACAGTCTTTGAGAGAGAGAGAGAGAGAGAGAGAGAGAGAGAGAGAGAGAGAGAGAGAGAGAGAGAGAGAGAGAGAGAGAGAGAGAGAGAGAGAGAGAGAGAGAGAGAGAGAGAGAGAGACAGAGAGAGAGACAGAGACAGAGAGAGACAGAAAGACAAACACAGACAGAGGAACACACACAGAGAAAGACAGACATACAGACAGGCGTTTATAATTATAATTTCCAGGGAAAATGAGGAAACTGCTGAGCCAGATCAGTTACTGCTGCTTATCACTCTCATTAACACGATCCCATTCTCATCTCAGAGCCTAACAACCAATCGCCACCTCCTCTCCAAGTTTACCAGGAATACATGTTAGGATCTGGGGCCTCGTCCCAGCATGTTTGTCCTGCTCATCTTGGCAGTTGTTGGGTCAATCCCCTCTAAAAATAGAGAGTCACGTCCAGCCGCGCGATGCTCTCTCCTTCAAGGCCCTCCAGTAAATCCACTTTTATTGATTCTATTTTCTATTTATCTGTTCCAGTTTAGTGCCTGGCTGCCATACCTATACTGGCCGGTATACAGAACTCTAGCTTATATATATATATATATATATATATATATATATATATATATATATATATATATATATATATATATATATATATATATATATATATATATATATATATATATATATATGCAAACAAGCCTGAATGGTCCCCAGGCATATATGCAACTGAAAACTCACACACCAGAAGTGATTCGAACCCATACTGCCAGGGTTCTGCAACTAGTGTACAGGACACCTTAACCACTCGACCATAATGACCGGACAAAGATGATGGTAGCCGAAGCTAATTTCCCATCATCCCGCCGGCACTCTGATGGTAATCTTGGGCATGGTATTTTATCAATTCACCTCATTCTTTGGGGCACACATGAAGAACACAAATGCGAACATGCCTGAATGGTCCCCAGGCATATATGCAAGTGAAAACTGAAAAGAGATGGTAATTGCGGGGTATTTAATCCCCCCCGAAGATCACCACCTCCCAAGGGCAACTTGAGCTAGTGAGAGGTCACTCACGTTCTTTCCTCAAGTCCCTGTTAATATGGGAGAACACTGTGTCTATGCTTAATGCACTAACTTGCCTAAACACGCAAGTGAAGGTTTACAACTTTAGAACACTTTCCCACCAGGAGATTCGAACTTTAGCCAGCACAGAAGCCTCACAGCAACTGGCATAGCAGATACACCTTTAACCCACTACACCAAACTCAGACCCTTAAAAGAGATGGTAATTTCGGGGTTTGGTGTCAACAATGTCTGGTGCCACAGTCAACAATGTCTGGTGCCACAGTCAACAATGTCTGGTGCCACAGTCAACAATGTCTGGTGCCACAGTCAACAATGTCTGGTGCCACAGTCAACAATGTCTGGTGCCACAGTCAACAATGTCCGGTGCCACAGTCAACAATGTCAGGTGCGTTATTAATAATCCCCCCTGGTCATAATACCAAGTTCGGTATCATCACTGCCTCATGCCACAAGCCCTGGCACTGTGTCATTATGGGCGGCAAGAGATAGACGCCATAATAACGCGTCACCGGTAGTTAGTCAGAGCCCCTGGTGTCAGAGCCCCTGGTGTCAGAGCCCCTGGTGTCAGTCAGAGGCCTTGGTGTTAGATTTAGAGTCCCTGGAGTCAGGGTCACAGCCCCTGGAGTCAGAGTCAGAGCCCCCTTGAGTCAGAGTCAGAGCCCCCTTGAGTCAGAGTCAGAGCCCCTGGAGTCAGAGTCAGAGCCCCTTGAGTCAGAGTCAGAGCCCCTTGAGTCAGAGTCAGAGCCCCTTGAGTCAGAGTCAGAGCCCCTGGAGTCAGAGTCAGAGCCCCTTGAGTCAGAGTCAGAGCCTCTGGAGTTAGAGTCAGAGCCCCTTGAGACAGAGTCAGAGCCCCTGGAGTCAGAGTCAGAGCCTCTGGAGTCAGAGTCAGAGCCTCTGGAATCAGAGGAAATGGACCACTCGTTTCTCACTTGTCCTAATTAATGCTCGGTAATTACGTGGCAAAAAAATACTAAATGAATCCTGTGCTGGAGGAATAGTTAAACTTTTTCATTTTACGCTTCACATGCAGGTTTTATGATGTACTGAGGACAGGTAAGAGTGCTTGGTCACTATGTACCTTTGTAAAAGCAATATTTGCACATTTCGAAGCTCTGTTTACGTTGGAAAGTCTTATATTTGATCTTAAACGAACGCACTTGATGCTTTTAATGAGGGAGGGAGGGAGGGAATTATCAGGGGGTAAACGCCACGCTATTACGACTATATAGTACTTGGAAGGGATCAGGATAAGGATTTGGGATGGGACGGAGGGGGAAGGAATGGTGCCCAACCACTTGGACGGTCGGGGATTGAACACTTTTAATGAGTTGATTACATATTTCTGGATGTTGAAATAACGTTTTGAAAACTATTCCTCTGTTTCAGAATTTATCTTTTATTTTCAAAATACTAAATAGTTTTTAATGCCTTGAATCGTGGAGTAAAAGAGTAAAAATCTCCAGTGGAATGATTAATTGATGAGCTCCGTTTGTAACATACTCGCCCGAGGGACCAGTTTCAACCCCAATTATGCAGGTGACACTTAGCTGTTCCTTAATATGATCCAATACACTGTTGGTGACAGAGCTTATTTGTCAGTGGATACGGCTGATTTGTCAACAGACCGAGCACAATCGTCAGTGGAGAGAGAGATCTTTGTCGGTGGGCAGCGCTCATTCTTCAGTGGAGAGGGTTTGCTAGTCGGTGGAAGGAGCACATTAGTCAATTGAGAGAGAGTAGTTCATTTGTCGGTGGATATAGAACGTTCATCGGTGGAAACACTTCATTGTCGATGGACCGAATTTATTTGTCGGTGGAGCAAGTTTTCTTTGTCGATGGACAAAGCTCATTCGTTAGTGAAGACATTTTTTTGTTGGTGGACAGAGTATATATGTCGGTAATATTTGTCATTTGTCGGTGTTGAGGGTATATGTGTCGGTGTTGAGGGTATATGTGTCGGTGTTGAGGGTATATGTGTCGGTGTTTGAGGGTATATGTGTCGGTGTTGAGGGTATATGTGTCGGTGTTGAGGGTATATGTGTCGGTGTTGAGGGTATATGTGTCGGTGTTGAGGGTATATGTGTCGGTGTTGAGGGTATATGTGTCGGTGTTGAGGGTATATGTGTCGGTGTTGAGGGTATATGTGTCGGTGTTTGAGGGTATATGTGTCGGTGTTGAGGGTATATGTGTCGGTGTTGAGGGTATATGTGTCGGTGTTGAGGGTATATGTGTCGGTGTTGAGGGTATATGTGACGGTGTGAGGGTATATGTGACGGTGGTGAGGGTATATGTGTCGGTGTTGAGGGTATATGTGTCGGTGTTGAGGGTATATGTGTCGGTGTTTGAGGGTATATGTGTCGGTGTTGAGGGTATATGTGTCGGTGTTGAGGGTATATGTGTCGGTGTTTGAGGGTATATGTGTCGGTGTTGAGGGTATATGTGTCGGTGTTGAGGGTATATGTGTCGGTGTTGAGGGTATATGTGTCGGTGTTGAGGGTATATGTGTCGGTGTTGAGGGTATATGTGACGGTGTTGAGGGTATATGTGTCGGTGTTGAGGGTATATGTGTCGGTGTTGAGGGTATATGTGTCGGTGTTGAGGGTATATGTGACGGTGTTGAGGGTATATGTGTCGGTGTTGAGGGTATATGTGTCGGTGTTGAGGGTATATGTGTCGGTGTTGAGGGTATATGTGTCGGTGTTGAGGGTATATGTGTCGGTGTTTGAGGGTATATGTGTCGGTGTTGAGGGTATATGTGACGGTGTTGAGGGTATATGTGTCGGTGTTTGAGGGTATATGTGTCGGTGTTTGAGGGTATATGTGTCGGTGTTGAGGGTATATGTGACGGTGTTGAGGGTATATGTGTCGGTGTTGAGGGTATATGTGTCGGTGTTGAGGGTATATGTGTCGGTGTTGAGGGTATATGTGTCGGTGTACAGAGCATAATTACCACCCTTGTAGATGATTGTCTTGTATAAGCCACACTAATAATCAACTCTAATTTATATCTAAAAATTATCAAATAAGTGTCAAGTTGCTTAATTTCCGCAGAGTGAATAAAGACAGGAGTAACTTATTTCTTTCCTCTCTCTCTCTCTCTCTCTCTCTCTCTCTCTCTCTCTCTCTCTCTCTCTCTCTCTCTCTCTCTCTCTCTCTCTCCAATAAAGGCCTGTGACTGTGGGGGCGCTAAACACCACTCCCCCTTAGTATGAATAAAGAATTTCACGAATGCTCCTCATACTGAGCGGAATGTATGACGGCTGTCAATCATGGCCGCCTGCCCACTCCTGCTTTACGAGCCCTGACAGAATAATTTGGTGGACAGAATGACGTGAGAGGAGGTCGACAGGAAGAAGAAAACCTTCGGCGCTCAGTAACTTTTCTACAGGAAAGACGGATTATGGGTTAAGTTGCCCCGAGCCTGTCAAGGGAACATTTTCTCCATCCTAGCTTAGGGAGAGAGAGAGAGAGAGAGAGAGAGAGAGAGAGAGAGAGAGAGAGAGAGAGAGAGAGAGAGAGAGAGAGAGAGAGAGAGAGAGAGAGAGAGAGAGAGACAGACAGACAGACAGACAGACAGACAGACAGACAGACAGACAGACAGACAGACAGACAGACAGACAGACAGGCAGACAGACAGGCAGACAGACAGACAGACAGACAGACAGGCAGACAGACAGACAGACAGACAGACAGGCAGACAGACAGACAGACAGACAGACAGACAGACAGAGTGAGAGAATGATACATTCAAACAGAGAAAGTATTCATTTACTACATAAATAAAACTGATCCCCACGCACCGAGAGCAGCAAATCTCGCGTCTCTGAAGCCTCGA